AATTCTTTCTTAGGTTTCCAGGACAGTCCCTCGATTCCTCCGCCGCCTCCGCCTCCTCCACCTCCCGCACCGTCGATAGGAGCTCTCGGAGGTTCCATTCCACCTCCTCCGCCTCCTCCCTCGACTCCTCTGATCGGAGGAGTGCCGCCGCCGCCGCCTCCTCCGCCTATCGGAGGTGTCCTCGGCGGAGCTGGCATCCCTCCTCCGCCGCCTATCGGCTGTCTGCTCGGAGGACCTTCCCTTCCGCCGCCTCCGCCGTTGCTGGGAGCCTCCGGAGGACCGCCGAGACCTCCGCCTCCGCCCGGAGGATTCTCCGGCAGTCCGGGGCCTTGTCCTCTGCCGGCCCCGCCGGCGGGTGGATGGAACCCGGCCAGCAGAGCGTGTGAGTACCAGGATGAGGGTGTTCTTGGGATATTTGAGTGGGGATATCGGCGGTGATCAGTGCGGTCTTACTCGTTTAGGCATGAGAAAGGAGCCCATGTGCCCAGAGGTGCCCATGAAGCCGCTGTACTGGACGAGGATACTGGTGCCGGTGGCGCAGACAGAGCGTGGTTCCGTAGAAGCTTCAGACTCTCCCGCTCAAGTAAGAGATTCCGAGGTTTCCGCCGGCTCGTGAATCATTCGATGAACTTGCTCCTTTTCGAGTTGCTCGCTGGTTCGTTTAGAGACTCTTGAGTCGTCGATTGTAACCGTGCCAGCTTATTTGTTCCTAGAATGGAATTCAATTAGTTTGAAGGTAAACGGCATCTGTCCTCGCAGATTCCACTATGGGCGGAGCTAGAGGAAGAGAAAAACCTGGACATGAAAGAGTTCGCCGGCCTGTTCTCGCGCCAGGTGACCGAGCGAAAGCCAGTGAAAAAGGTAGACGACATCACGAAACCGTCTAAGATCCAGCCAGCGAAGATCCTCGACTCGAAGCGCTCGAAAACGGTCGGTATACTCGAGAAGAGCTTGCACGTGGACTTCTGCGAGGTGGAGAACGCCGTCTACAATCTCGACACGAGCGTGGTCAGTTTGGAAGCGCTGCAACAGATATACGAAATTGTGAGTTTACGTTCCAATTCCTTCGACAAAGTATCACAAAGTACCACAAAGTATCGCGAGAGAGTCAAAGAAAATTGGATTCCATTGCAGAGACCAACTGCCAAGGAACTGGAGGAGATAAAGTCCTTCGAGGAATCGAACCCGGACATCCCGCTGGACCAACCGGAGGTCTTCCTCAAGAAACTCGCCAGTATAAACAGCTTCTCCGAGCGGATCGCTTGTCTGATGTTCCAAAGCGAGTTCCACGACGCGATCTCCTCGGTCTCGTCGAAGCTAACGAACCTGCGCACCACCTGCGACTTTCTGAGGAACTCCAGCTCCTTGAGGAAGGTGATAGCGTTGGTCCTGACCCTTGGCAATTACATGAACGGCGGCAACAGGACTAGAGGACAAGCGGATGGTTTCGGTCTAGAGATCCTGGGTAAACTGAGGGACGTGAAATCGAACGTACCCGGTATAACTTTGCTGCATTACGTTGTGAGGGTGAGGCTCGATCAGGAGAAGGATCACAATTTCGAGGAACCGCTGCCGTTGCCTGTTCCGGAGCCAGCGGACATCGAAGCTGCCTCGAACATCAACTTCGATAACATCTCTGGGGAGCTTGAAAGGTTGCGGAAAGAACTGGAAGGTAAACGAAGGTCTTAATGTCGAGGAATGTATGAAATATTTTAAGAACTCGTAAATATATTTCAGTAGTTGTTTGATTGTTTACAGATACGAATGTTACGATACGTTGAATGACAACGTTGTACAGTTTATAACGAAGTTTCTACTTTCCTGCAGCCTGCACCAAGAAATGCGAAGCAGTGGTAGAAGCTGACCCCGAAGGTTCGAGCTCGTTCAAGTCGAAGATGGATTCGTTCTTCAGCGAGGCGAACGTGGAACTGGCGAACGAGCAGGAAGCGTTGCAGGAAGCCAGGAGCAAGTTCAAGGCGGTGATGCTGTTCTACCAGTACACTCCCAAAGGAAGCAGTCTAGACAATGCAGATCCGAACGCGTTCTTCGTGCTCTGGCTGGGTTTCTGTCAGGACTTGAAGGTGGGCTAATGAAGGACCAATTGAGTCGCTCAGAAACTTCCCAATTTCCCTGGACTTATCCGCTTGGCTTCTGAGCGAGTCAATTAGGTTTTGCAATTGAAAGATCGTTGCTAAAGGGTCAACAACGTCTGTTTCCTTGTTCGATGTTCTTTTACAATGATTCTGGTGATGCTGTAGGACATCTGGAAAAAGGAGCAACAACGAATAATGAAGGAGCGAATGGAGGAGATGCGCAAGAAGTTCGAAAACAAGAACAAAGTGGAGAAGACCAAGAAGAGCGCGACTGGATTGAAGACGCGCCTTCAGAGGCTCGCGCGGAAGTAAAGAATCGCTGTTCGTTGATCGTTTTCTACAGTATTCAAGATTGGTCCATCGGCACAATTCGTCGTCGGGATTAGCTAATCCGCGGAAGAACGCCTAATCTTCGAGCGAGGATAGCGAACTGGCTGCCTCGGAAGCGACAGCGCGCACAGGCGGGACCGATCGATCGGATCGGACGTGTCCCGATCGTTCGCCCGAGCTTATACGGCACTAAAATTATCCGATCGAACGCACGACACGTATCGCGTAGGGCATGATGAATCTGTTACTGTAAATAGGATCGTTAAATTTGCACAAGAATGATTTGTATATACGATGTTTCGCGTATTGAAGAATTTTTCCGATTATTGAGAATTAAACGAGTAATTTTTACACTATCCGTCGTGTGCGGTTCATTTTTCCTCCTTCCTCGATCCTTTTCATCGATAACAAACTCGCCGGGAAGCACAGGAGAAGAGAGACGGGCAAG